GGTCCCAAAACGTTCCTTTTTTGAGATACAGGGTGTTAAAAAGTGAAGTCCTGATGACACACTTTTGTAAATATTTTCTAAACGTTTAAAGATAACTAAGTGAAATTTGGTACAAATGCTTACCTTTTTACGCTCTATCTAATAGACTAAACCCCAGTTTTGGATCATCTTCATAGGTGGATAAATTAGGGGGGGCTTAGGATAAAATTGCCCTAAGTTTTTTTAATTGACAGTTTTTAACATTTTTGACTATAAAATTTGGAAAACCAATGTTTTCTTTATAATAAAGCTAAATTTGTTGCATCTCGCTAGGGCGCACCATTTTCAAGATAAAAGCATTTGAAAATGTTATGATAAGTTGATGTTTTCTTATTCAAAAGTGTAAACAATAATTAGTAGGCCTGTAAAATCATAAATTTTATTTTAACTTTGGAAAACCGGTGACTAAAGAAATTTTAAAAAATATTTACAAAAATGTACCAGCAGGACTTTACTTGTAACACCCTGTATCTTGAAAACGAAACGTTTTCGGACCTGTGTTTATATGAACTTTTATTCCTATTTTAGGATGTAGATTACGCTGTTAAAATATGACCGTCTAATTTCGGGACACCCTGTATAATATCAAATATCTCCTCCACTTGGTTTAAGCGGAAACGAAAACATCAAGTAGCTAGGCAGATCACCGAATATTACCCTTACTGATTTTTATTTTGGAAGTTACCTAAAAAAAACAACACGGGGGTGGGTGGCTCAGTGGTAGAGTCTCTGCCTGTGGATCCAAGGGTCCCAGGTTCGAATCCCACCGTTGGCCGAGATTTTTTTTAATTAATTAAAATTAATTCTGATGCCTTGGTAGGATTCCCCACTCGACGATTCACTGTTGGGTTCTAATTAACAGTGCTGTTCCTAAAGTGGCGCTGGGAAACAGTGACAAAGCCTACACAGAACACGAGGCGAAATAACCTTAGCAGTTGAAGCCGATGACACACAAAAAAAAACTTGGAGCACATCAGGAAATCCATGATTTAATACATAATTTAAATCATTGGTCTGTACAATATGAAGGAATTGCTTTTGAATGTGCCCAAAAATTTTTATGAAAGATCGAGATCCTGTTTTGGTACTAAAATAAGAAATTTTTCAGTCCACCTCTGTGGTTTAGATATTTTCAGATGATTTTTTTTTTATTTCATTGATTACAAATCAATCCTGCATCATAATATAGCTTCGTTCGCGGTAAGAATCCTGAACTGAATTATTACTAATAGTAACAATTTTGCAGGCGCAGTAGTTAAAAAACATTTGTGGAATAAAAAGAACTGAACTATTGGTTCTGTCCTACGTTCGCGGTAAAATTATAATTGGTTTTGAACCGCTTGTCTATGTCTGCAACACCGAGACCTAATAGGTATAGGTATTGCGCGCGCGGTAAAAATTCTAAATTGAATCAGTTCAGGATTCTTACCGCCAACGAAGCTTATATCAGTAGTCAACATTTTTTTTTTTTGGTTAAACTTACAAAAAATGTTTCATGCGGTGGCAGATTAATACGTTGCTTTTTAAACTACATTTCCGGTATTCAACTGCTTAATGACGACTCATAACAAACTGAATGATCGAGATTGTTATTGTTAAGGTTTCTTTTTGCACTTTATAAGTAAAAACGGTCTTAATCATTTTATACAAAACTGAAACCAAAAAATGACAAAATTAACGTCGACGCATACTATGATAATATAACAATTTCACTGATAATAGTTACGGAATGATACAAAAATAGATAACTTAAAATTTTATGAAAATTGTTTTTTTTTTTTATTTTTTGGTTATTCTTGAATGAATTTATTGCTGATGTTACAACCAATATACTCTAATATTTCTATTAATGTATTATTAAATCATTTTGAAAAACAATAATTGAAGTGGCCAGTTTTTGACTGGTGGGTGTATACATAATTTACTTTTATTACATAACATTTTTTTGTTGTAAATATTAACTTAGACAATAAAACCTGATAAATTATTGCTGATGTGATGACTCCGTGATTTTATTGTTTTAAGAATTTGAATATAAAATTGTACATTTATTACTATTATTTAATATTTACCGAAAAAATCGGTGAACATAAAGGCGGCGACTGACTTGTATCAAAACTTTGTAACGTAATGTAACGCGAGCATTAGATAGTAAGTGCAGGAAATCAAATGCCCATCCAAACGTTTTAAGTTTTGTTTGTTAAAAGTCAGTTATCTCCAAGCCGACGGTCTAATATGGATCACTGTTGAACCGAGAAATCGAAATAAGCATTCGTCTAAAGTTGCTTATTCACCAAAAGAACATTCATTCATAATTAAAGAATGAAGAATGTTCACTGTCGTGCTTGATCGTGTTTGCTCTTTTGGTGAATATGCTGCTTTACTGTAATCAGGAATTTCGTAGTGTAATGCTCACTGCAAGCATTACAAAGCTGTTTAAGTCAGTCGCCGCCTTAATATGTAACATTTGCAAAACAAAGGTTCAAAGATGCCTTTTAGAACATTGACACCATGACACCTAGGTTTTAAATTATTGTGGCTGATGCATGAGCACTTTTTATGTTTTATAATAGCTAATGCTCCATCTCACTATGTATATTAATCACAAAATAACAAATGAATCATACCTTGTACTGCTAGCATATGGTATCCTTTTTTATATGGCGGGCTCTCTAGTCTACAAGAGTACATCTTTTTATGAATTTTCAAAACATTGTGATAGTTTATTTATCTTCAATGTTGTACATTTTGAGGAACTAGGCAGCTTTGATAAGTATTGGAAAAGCACTAATGTATAAGTTGGGATACTCTATGGCAGTTTTGTTTAATGTAGGTTAAGGTGTCATGCTACTCTAAATTATAAATTTAACTGTTCGGAACATATAGTACGAGATCCGACTGAGTGATTACTGCACTCATCTGTTTTTTAATAAAAATACAAATTTATAGATAATTATTGATACAGAAATACAGTTTTGCCGGGTTGCCTGTCAAAATATGGCCGCAAGTACTTTTAATTAAAGTTTAATTAATTAATTTTGTTTTTACAATTTCGTTCACTTGTTTTGAAGATAAAATACGAGAGATGTTTCCAAAGTTCTGGGAATTTAGCTATAATTTTTATTATTTTCTAAATTTTCGTCAATATTACAGTGTAGTTTTTCAACATATACTCCATTTAACTGAATACATTTATCCCAACGATAAACTCATTTTTTAAGCCTTTCTCAAAGAACTTTTTCGGTGTCTCCTCAATCCACCTATTTATGGCAGGTTTTACGTCAGTTAAACTTTCTAATCAAACACCCGTAATGGTTTTTTCAAATCTGGGAAGAGATGATAATCACTGGGTGCAAGATCCGGGGAATAAGGTAGGTATGGAATCAATTACCATCGTAAATCGTTCAAAACATGCTTCGTTTTTCTTGCGTTGTGTGGTCTTGCATTATCCTGTTGCAATAACGAACGCTTATGCAACTTTCCAGGCCGATTTTTGACAAGTGCTTGTCGTAGTGGTCCGGATAATAAATTCGAATAATATTCTGCGTTAATTGTAATACCTTCCCCAGATAATCGATAAAAATAATTTCTTCGCCATCCCAGAATACAGTAAGCATTGACTTTCCAACAGATGGAACTGCACGCGCCTTAAGTGGAGGCCCTTCTTCAGGTTTGAGCCATTCTGTGGATTGACTTGTGGTCTCTGGATTGAAATAAGGAATCCACGTTTCGTCAGTGGTTATTATTCGTTGCCAAAGTTCATTACCGTAACGAGTTAACAGCTCTTGAAGTTGACGACAAGTATCAGACCTATTAAGTTTCTGTTCTGGTCCCAACAGCGTTGGTACCCAGTGCGCTGAAACATTGGTAAGGCCCAAACAATCATGCAAGGTGTCATGAACTTGTCATGTACCTATCCCTAGGTATACACTATTTTGACGAATAGTCATTCACCTGTCCTCTTTTAGTAGGTCTTCGACGGCAGTACTGTTTCTTTCATTTACCGACGTGCCTGGGTGCCCACTGCCCACAATTTCATAATTATAATATTCATTCCTTTCAAAGAAAAGACCTTGTTGCCAGACTTTTTCACTACCCTATATATAACTATCATAATAGATTAAATTCTATTATTATAGTATTTTAATTTTGTTATAGTTAGGCCAATCAATAAAACCATTTAACATCGCAAACACGCATGTATCTACGATTTTTTTTGTTGTTAGTACCCCCTGAGGGTACAATTGAAGCTAAATCCGAGCTCTATAGGTCCATTAGTTGCAGAAATACAACCAATTAAAAATGACACGTACTGGTTAAGCTAATGGTCCATGACAAAAGAAGTTGTAGTGAATTGAATTATCTTTAATTTTATTTTAAAATGGTGCCTCTAGAGGCCTTACAGTTTTCTCAAAAACGAAAAAATATTAAAACATGGATGTTAGGAAAATGATGAAAACATTCTACTGAATAATATGTATTTCTAAAAAAGAAAAGAACAAGAATATAAATTTAACATTTTAGATGTAACATACTGCTTCAAATAAACATACACTATTATACGAGATAAAAGTTAGCTTTAATTTGATATATAATTTATTGAGATACGTATAAATTGAACGAAATTATACATTTACACCTGATTGACAAGAGGTTGCGGCCAAGTAAGAAAAGGCAACCCAAACTTTTTAAGTCCTTTACATATCTTTTCTTTGAAATTAATTATATTTTATCTTCAGAACAAGTGAAGAAATTGTTCAAAAAAATAAATTAATTAAACTTTAAAAGTTGAGGCTATCTTTTGATAAGCAACCCGGCAAAACCGTATTTTGATTAAAAAACAGATGAATGCAATAATCACACAGTCGGATCTTTGACTAATCTAGTATTAAGCTTTTTGATATCAAATATACAAATTTTGCGATGGGTTCTTGGTTAGTCTGGTTGTTGTGTGTGTGCAGGGTGAGGGTGGCGCATGTTCTAACTGCGGAGTCAACTGTACTGTCACTCAGGTAACCTCGAAAGGAAACCTTTGTAATTCCTGCTTTCAACACTGGAGGTATGTATGCATCTCTTATAAAAGTATATTATGATGTGATTCCAATATTTAGTGTTTTGTCACAGTTGAAATTCAATTTAATAGATTTACATCCCCATATTCTTTTGCTTTCATCACCACTACTATTCTTAAAAATTATCGTTTTCTAGTTTTCTAAACCCATGCTGAAACACGATAATGTGAGTATTGCTACTTCCATAATATGGAGAGAGAAAAAACGTTAGGTGGAAGTACTAATATACACTGCCTTTGTGAATCTAGTAGTTAATTAGTCTGTGGTCAAAACAACATTCTCGAGATGCAGATCTAATAAATAAAATTTTAAACCTTCATTTAAATAATTACTTCTACCATTTTATCCTCTTTGCATCAGTTTATCAATGACAACTACTGGTAGTTCAAGTTTGTTCGATAAATGGAAATACAGATACACCATGTCATGAGTCGATACCAATTTAATTAAAATTGATTTTTTTAAACGTAGTAAATTTTTACTTCAAACTTATCATTTGTAGTTTCTGTTTTTAAAATGTATTATTGCCTTTTTATTCAATTAAATCTTAAATTTTTCCTGAAGCTACTTTAATATTTTTAATTTAAAATATTGGGATTACATGATATTACTAATGAACATTTGGAACCGAGTATTTTAAAATTGTTACAAGTATTGTTTTAAAATTTTAAAAATAAGCATTTATTTATTACACATTGTCTAAAAAAATATTTCAATTAAAATTCACATTTTGAATTTGCACTGAACAGTAAAGTAAATAACATAAAAGTATTAAAACAACATCAACAACAACAAAAATTTATTAAACAATCTTGGTATATAGACGAACGGGTCTGTTGCGGCCCACTTCTGGGCCGACGGGCGGTAAGCGGGGCACCCCTTTGGGGGCTCGTCATAAACGCAAGCCCCCCCGCGGCATGTACATCAACCACGACGATTTGGCTGCGATGGCTTCAGGCAATACGGGCGTCGTCATGCTTAAAGCCATGGATAGAGAGATTGATTCCATACAAAGACAAGTAAGTATTTATCTGTTTAGTTCCAAGCTGGTTTGTAAGACTTTTCTGAAAATACAAAATTAAAAGCTGACATTTATGTATTTTAGTTATGTAGTTATGTATTTTAGTTATATCTCTATTTTGTTGTTTTTTTTTTAATCCAAGGTCGTAACCTTTATGTACAGGGTGATTTTAAATGGCCTTGCCAAAATAATATTTTAGAGATCTTTTGACAGATATTTAGGGCTTTAAAACTCGAACGTGCTGAATCGTTTTGTATCAAATTTTGTATGCATCATCAAACGTAGGTTTAAATTATCTCAACATCATCAATTATTTTTTTGAAAGAGGATGCCATTTACACACATATCCAACTGGACTTTTTGATCGTTTTCTCATTGTAAGGCTACCGCATCTTTTATACCCTAATCACTATTAAGTGCTTTGCAAAAAGGTACTGTTTACTCGCTAGAGGGAAACGTTAAAAAAATCAAAGCAAACAGGTTTTGATTGTGTGCTGCATTTAACAGGTTTCTTTTAAATTAAAACAAAGAAATGTATTAAATTTAATTGCGCATGTGATAAACGAGCACATTGGGGCAAATAAGATTATTAAGTATGATATCTAGGGTTGAGGCGTGAGCTTATTTTATGTTTTAAGTGTTTTTAGAAGAAAAAGAACATTGCAACGTCCCTGTAGCGTAAAAAGGAAAACAATGCGCTGAGAAAAAAGTTGAGTTAAAAAATAAGTTGGGTGTGTAAGTGGCGCCGTCTATCAAAAAATTAAAAACTAATGATGTTCAGACCATTTAGACCTACATAAGATAACGCATACAAAATTTTATATAAATAATTCAGTGGTTTTCGAGAAAAGTAATCGATTTTCTCAAAACAAAAAAATATGAGTATCTGTAGAGAGCTCCCTACAGTAATATTTTGGCAGCGTCGTTTAGAATCACCCTGTATATATCTACACCAATTTAAAATATATATTAATTTATAGACACATGATATTTTAAGATTATTAAAATTAATATAATATAACCTATATTTATACTAAGCCAATGTAATTCTAATTATTCCTAAGACTGCAAAAATATAAGAGTGCTCCAAATTCCTGGCGAACTATTGCTAGGATATTGCCATTTTTTGTCTTAATTTATAATGTCAATCTATAGCTGTCATTAAAATAAAGAATTTCTACAAATAAACAAAAAAAAAATATACCAAACAAATCACAATGATTTAGGTCTGGTGATTCGGTGGTCCTTAACTGATCCATTTCGACCATTCCTTCTATTTGGAAAAGATCAACTTGGATTTGGGTATTTTAATTCAGTAAATTTCTAGCTTTCTTGTATGGCCACCGAGTTCTCCAGAACTAAACCCTGTTTTTTTTTTATTTTCGAGTTTTTTTTTTAAATGTTATTTGAAAAAGCTGTTTATTTTACTGTCTTCTATACAGAGTTATAAACAAATATCGACTTAGATATCGCTCTGGATAAACAAGGGACATATAAAACACGTATAAAAACCGGTATAAAAAATGCGTCTTTTAATAGTAGTTTGTACAACAAGAGTGGATATATCGCACGAAGACGAAATTTGAGCACGACGCCGTAGGCGGAGTGCTCAATCGTCTGAGTGCGATGTGGACAATCCACTCGAGTTGTACAGTATATTTTTTCTAAGACCCACTAACGAAAATTTACAAATAAAAAATATTTTAGGTTATTAAGACAAAATAACTAATTTTAAAATAGTTTATGACTTTTACAGCCGGTTGCAAGAACGATTGTTAAAATCTCTCGTTAGCTAAAGAACAAATAACTAACTGAGATTAAAACTGGCAACGGCGCTTTTCCAACTGACAGTCTGTCGCTTCACAGCTGATCACGGGAGATTTGTATATTAATGAAGTTAATTTGGTAATATTTTTTCGAAAACTAATTACAAATAAAGTAAAAAATGAAATTGAGGCTCAACCTTTACGGCTATGGTTAAATGTTAACACTATCCCTATCTTTTTTCGACATCGGCTCATATTTTTTAATATACAGAAGCAAGGACAGTCGGTTCAGAGAAAAAATGTTTTACACATGAATATAATTTCTTAAAATAAATAGAATGGCTTAAATGAAGAAAAGGTTCCAAGAAGTCACTGGAAAAAGAGGAAAATACTCATTTAACTGCCCTTCTAGTAGTGCCCGATTAAAAATCTATGATTTGTGGTTTAAAGCAACAGTATTTAAATATAGTTTGTCCCTTTTATATAAACTAAAACTATTTTTTCTTGTACTTACTTTACATTTTCTCTTCCCGTTTGTCATGGAAAAGCACATTTCTTTCTAATGTACATTATTTTTTCAAATAGAAGTACATAATTAAAAACATGTTTAGTTTTTATCATGTGTGCAAACCCCATTTACTGTGGTAATATTTCCAATGTATTTTCTATTTTTAACAGACTTCAAAAAAGAAGTAGGTAGGTTCTCAATTCATTGGAATATATTTTTTTATGGATATTCAGCGACAATTCTTTACGATGTTGTCCGATTTCTGATTATTTTTTTGTTAGAAAGGGGGCTCCTCAGAGATGGTTTCATATATAAATTTGGTAAAGATCTGATGATGGGATTCATGAGAAAATAATCACTCTTTGTATTTTGTAGTCGTCAGTTTTTTTAAATTAATTTTGTAACTTATACATTTTTCAATGAATCAAAGTAAAAAACTGTTTAAATTGGGAAATTTCTAAAGTTCAGTATCTATTTTTTAGTTAGAAAATGAAAACTGGAGGAGAGATGGTAAAATCTCTGGTATGAGAAATAAATTCACATTAGACCTATTCTTGAAAATCATATACAGTTCCTTTAATCCCTTCAATTTGGATGCTATATTTCTTTGCTAATAAACTAATGCTAGAATATATTTTTTATTTAAGAACAACTTTCTATTTGTACAATATTGGCATTTCTAGATTGTTGAGAAAATTAAATAATTATTATATGATAATTAGCTTTTATAGGTTGTGTAATAGTTGAAATTTAAAATATTAAATAATTGCTATGTAAATTACACTTATTTACCTTAATATATTTGCTTTCACATTTATAATTTACAGATTTGTAGGTCATAAATAAAACACCAAATTCATTTTAAAATGTTATTTTTTAGGATTAAATTAATATACACAAAATACATAACATAATAAAAAAATATAATAAATCTACAATAAATAAAAATACATTTAATTTGCCCATCATTAATAAGAATTCTAATTCTAGAAAATAAACATTCAATTCAGGATTTCTTTTTGGTTATGACAGGTTTCAAGTTTACTAGTAATTTTGTGTTAAAATTTACAGTTTGCCCAACGTATTGGATATGAGCCAGTTCCACATATTTAATAAATGTATAAAAAGAAATGGATTATTTCAACATAGGTACAAACAATAAAAATGTTATTACTGATAGTAGTTTACTGCTAAATATTTACTTTTTCTGAAAATAGGCAGGAAAAAACTATAAAATAATATTAAATATGGTTGAGAATGAGAATGTATAAATACATAACATTTATACGAATTAAAAAGTTTTTAACAATATAAGTAGAGATACCAAGCTCCACAGTTATATGACTTAAAATTATTCATGCTATCATCTCATGAAATATTTTAAAATACTTAGCAAACACCTATATTACTACAAAGTAATGCCTATTTAAAAATAAAAATATATTGCTACAAGGCTATACCTCCATCATAAGCCAAACCCCCATAACTGACAAATTACAAATATTTGAGGTTATTTGACCATTCTGATACTAACCCAATTTTCTTTTTAAAAAGTAAACAAAATACCAGCAATTTTGATTCTGTATCCTAAAAAGTCAACTTGATTCTACAATGTAACTAACATTTTTCTAGAGAATTCTTATCAAAAATCAACCCAAAACATTAAATCACACTTATTTATATAACTAGTTAACATTATTCAAAACTTGTCTTTAATTCAACAAAAGCAGCTATATTGGTAACACATATCAAAATACTGGCACTAATAAATTTATTTTATTGCATATATCTTCATTCTATAGTTTGTGTAGTTACTGGGGCAGTATAGATATTTTAAAGTTTTATTTGTGAGCCAAGCCTGTCTTGTTTCAAGATTAGTGGTCCATACAACAATATTTTTAATTTTGTTGTGTTACAAAGTTTTCCTTTTTTAACTGTATGGTTTTGCTTGAGAGTCTGTGCAGGGGGATTAGAAGAGTCTACTTGGACCAGGCAAGGGTTTAGTAGATTCCTTGGGAGTGAAGAGACTACTAGGAGAAGCAGCTACGGAGACTCCACTGAAAAGAGGCATAATATCAATTATTGATTCGTGCACCTACAGAATAATAAATAAATACATATTATTCTAGAGCTCTTAAAAGTATGTTCTGAAATATAATGATATAACAAAATTTATAGGAAATTCATCATTGAAGAAGTTATAACTCGAACCTACATAGAGATTCAACGATGATATTTAGCTGCAGTTAACTAGGACTCGTGTAATTATTTATTGCAATGCAAGAACCTAATTAAACCTACAGTTATACTTTACTAAAATATGTAAAAGTTCCCTTCAATTCCAAATTTGTCTTCATATTGCACTAATTACCAACATACAAAGTATTTGTGATAATTATACAGGATGGTCCAAATTTGACATGTTTATAAGATATTACTAAATTAGCAGGGGATAAAGCACATTTGATCTCACCTTTTTTTTAAACTAAACATGTTATTTTATATCCATTTATAAATTCCTCCCCTAAGTAAAATGTAAGCGTGATTTTTAAAATATCATTATTTTGTTTGGGTGTTCAAATAAAAAATGGTAAATGGTATTATCTTGAAAATTTGTACCCCTTGAAAAAATAATAAGAGTATGACAATGGATTTTACATATGTAACTATGTCAAATTATTAAATTGTTTTTGAAAATAAGATATTTATTTGAGATAATAAATTATGATAAAATTAGAAAATCACCCTATAGCTTCTAAAATGGATTTATAACATAACTAAGCATTCCATGTTTTATTTCTCAAAAAAGTTAAGAATGGTGGGTTATAAGGTTTCGATATCTAGTTGTATCATGTAAAAGCGTCGAATTTTGACCACCATGTATAATAAAACAGCTAAGTTTAAATAAAATAAATAAAATACTTTCTTACCAAAGAATGCAGCAGTGGAATCAATGGGGACTCTATTTGATTATAAAAAAATGCTTTAATTTGAGCCTATCTCATCAAGTTGAAGATTAACCATGTCTCCTTCTCGTTTTTCACCCTTAAACAAATAAGGAAAGAATTTAAATAAACAAAATTAATACTAAACGTTAGTTATTTCCAATTTTATTTTTTTTTTAACTTTAGTAGTTTGAATAATCTTTAAAATGGGAAAAGACAGATATTGCTAAAATTGTATAAATAATAACACATACAAAAGAAGTTTTATATTGTATATATAAAAGTGATTTAATTTCTGTTTAAATTAAAATCCTATAAATTAATCTTTTAAAATATAAAATTTCTGTTAAATAACATTATTATTATTATTATAGGTACTTTGCTTAGAAAATTAACTTTAAATATATTACTGCATAAATGTTTAATTTGATTTCAAATAAATGTTTTCTTTTATTACTAAGAAGGCACAATATTCTATACTATATAGAAGGTAAGTATATTAATGTTACTGTCCCAGAAGGGTGGGTGTACAAATATGTTATGTATAATAGGTGTCCTTTGAATGAGACAAAAAAATACGAACCTTGTCCTGTCTCTCCTTCTATTTAACCTCTTGTAAAGTTTAGTTTTCTTTTTGTTGTATCTCACTTTTAGATTTCCTTGTATCAGTTTTATATTTAATAAAAGCTAGTTATTCCTAATTAGTATTTTGGCCAATACAACTTCTTAGCAATTTACCTAAAAATTTAACCCCAAAAATGTAGTTGGAAATACAAATTAAGTATGTAATAAAGTGAATGTTTTTGAAGAAATTTTATGTACTTATTATTAATTTACTTACCAAGTGGTTTTTCTTCTATATGTAGCAGTAAATTGCTTGCGATTTTTTTTGTCAACCATTATAATACTTCAACTAAACGAACTCAAATTGAACTTTTATAATATATATTCAAAGTACCTCTCGACACTCACATAAATTGGCTGGAAAATTGAAAAATTCTAAAATATTATTCAATCTGTCAAAGTAAATGACGAGCAGAGCTGACATAGGAAGCGACGTTGCCAGTTCACGTCGTCGTTACAAATTAACAGAAGAATGCAACCCGTACTACACCTTTAGTAAAAGATTTGGGTTTAACGAGTCATTAGATATTTAACGATCGTTGTTGCAACCCGCTGTTAATAATTTTAAAATAAAATGAAAAAAAAAATTCACTCAATTTTTCCCCATCCGAGAATCGAACTCCAATCATTCGCATGGAAGGCCAGAACGCTAACAACCTAACCTAGCCTTTTGCTTTTATTGCTTTAATACTCGTAATTAAATTGACTTCATATAGTTTTATTTAAATTAACAAATTATATAATTATAGATGAAATAAAAACAGAATGCTATTATTTATTGATTCTACACAAGAATAACCCATTTTAATGTATGTTTAATCTCAATAACTAAAAGATATACTGACAATTAGTTTGACAGAATTGTCACTTATTTGAAATTTTAAAAATAATAGGAATCGGTTGATCAAAATATGAACGTTGATTGGTAGATTTCATTTTTTTACAGTGTTCTCACTACCTAAAATGGATATGAAATATATTCGTTCAGTTGAAGGCAATATAATACTTTTTCTTTTTGTAATCTGTGCGTATATAAGCTATTATCCATGTGGGTGTAGAAAAAAAACTATACATGGAAAAGTGTACTTCTGAATTTTAATTATAATTTCTACTTTTAGTGTGTTACTTTTGCTTTCATTTATTTTTGAAGCTGGAATTTTATGTAGTAATTGTATTTTCTTATGACCAATTTACTGAAAGTTTTTATGGAGGTATAATTTTTTAAAGATAGAAATTTGAAAATTGGAATTGTAGCTACTCATCATAAATAAATGGACATGTTTTAGGATTTTAACATTTGAAGGGGGGAAACGGGGGGTGAAAGTTTGTAAGAAACTTTCGGTTTTTTAAGGATAGGAACTTGAAAACTGGAATTGTAGCTACCAATCGATAAGTAAATAATGATATTTCAAGGTTTTTGGATTTTCACATTTTATAGAATAAACAAATATATAAATATGAAAGTAAATAAATAAAAATAGATAAAAATAATGAACAAAAATAAACATTAATTTGTAAAAATTTATAAAAATTTATAAAAAATAATAAAAATTAATAATTATGCATTTTTTGATATTATAAACACGACTCCACGCGTGCAAAGTCGCGAACAACAGCTAGTAATTAGAGATTTATGTAGGCAAATAAATGCATCTTTATTTAATTTGATGAATAATAATAATAATTAAAAATTTTGGTACTACATTTTATACACTAGCGAACACGTATGCAAAATTGTAAAGGTAACACTTAACTGCAGTTTAAACTGATACTCTGAACTAGAATAATACCCGATAAATTTTTAAATATTCAGAAGTACCACAATATTCTATATTTTTACACAGTTCAGCCAGTTGTAAGAACGAATTAACTATTGGATATTTATGAAATAGATACTAAAATAAATTAAGAGTTTGAAATCACTTTGAGTCTATTTATGATCCTGATAATTTAAATGGTTATAATAAACATTTCATCAATATTGATCGTCCTGCTTTATTACAAATACTCCACATTTTGAAGCAAAACGGAGTAAGCTTAGAACAGTTACAGATAATTATCATACTGTAAATGATTGTGATTTTTTTTGTAATGGTGGGCAACGAAACAATTGGTCATAGTGATGATACTCTACTGTTTAATTATCAAACACTAATTAAACTGTTGTAAACTCAAATAAAAAAAAAATTAAATTACTTTTTGTCTGTGAAAGCTGCTGAACGACAAACCACTGTAACCAAACAAAAAAAAATTAAAAAATTCCCAAACTTTAAAAAATAATCATTTATAATCACATGATATATTATGTTATCATTATTTATATTCTAAATAAAGGAGAGCCAGCGAAAAGAAAACTTCATTTTTATGGAGAACAGTCAATTAACATTTTTTTGTGACCACACTGGTATGCCATTTTGAAATATCACCGGTTAGTCGAGAGTAGTCTAATGCCACTAGACTAGACAATGTTTGGATGACCCTTTTATGATTGTTCTTTTTTTAGTTATCTTTTATTTCCTCATTGTCCTAGGGACAAAGTGAGCTGTAAGCCTAATTTGGTACATATATTTATAATTAAAAAAAAAAAACAATCTATAATAGTAATCTAATATTAAAATATTTTTTTTTTATTTCTATGCATATAAAAATAATCGCTGTATTGACTGAAGATTTATTTTTCCTGTTTTTATTTATCTGCTGTTCGTTTTCGGTACATTGCTATCACTGAAATCGTATTAGACTTCTTAGGGTCTTATCTACAGATATATTGTTATATTTTCTTCATTCTAATGCCTTTTCATTGTAGCTTTTCTCAAGCTAATTTGATATTTTTATTCGGTTTTCTCGCCCTATCGCGAGAAGTTAATATCTTGGGCTCAGTAGATCTCGACTCTATTCTTTCTTTGACGGCTTTAACCTCTGGTTTCTTTCATTAGGTTGGAGATATTATTTGCGAGTTTTAGAAAGATGATTAATGCCAATAATTTATGCTTGTATGAACGGTAACGGGGCATTTTCTAAAGATTACTAGCTTACCAATGTTTATGATGCTTCTGGACTTCTTTTTCACCTTTTTAACTTCTGAACTAATACAGTTGTTATTTCAGGTCCTAGTTTATATGGTCTGCAGTTTGTTCTCCTATGGGGCTCTCGACCTTTTCGCGACGTTTCAAGTCACAGATTCTTGTATTCGTGAATGCTTCCGCCTTCAAGACATAATCGTCCTAGATGACTTTCTTCTAGATGCTACTTTTCTCTTATCAGACTGACCTTCCTACTTGAACGCTTAGACCTGGGCTTCTTTCTCTTAACATTCTCATTCCATCTCGCAATCATTTTCATTTGGATTTTCTTCTGTAACCTATTCTCCTTCAAGGTCTTTGTATCCAGAGCTAGAATCCAACCGTCTCTAGTGTTTGTACCGATTTATATCTTCTGCCGTTAATCTATCCATTTGACGAGTACTGAACCTGGATTTTGATGTCTCCAATTTACTTTTTTAGTGATTTTATTCAATGCTCCGTTATCCTCTTCCCTATTAAATAACTTCAGAACATTCGTTGAACCACTGTCAAACATTTTATCATGATTTCAAAAGTTTAAGATCATAAAATTAATTATTGGTACATCGATGAAGCTGATTTCGTTTATTAAAAATATTGTTGCCATTGTCGTCATTATGTGAAATGTATATTAATGAAATTAAATCTATTATATAAATTGAAGTATCTTCTCCATTGTTACAGATTCAACAGAACAAACAATCTATTAGTTCCTTAAAACGTAAGCATTCCGATTCTATTGAAGACCTACGCCCAAGCAGTGAAAACAATTCTAGATTTAATGCTCGTTGGACAAACGAAGAACTCCTTCTTGCAGTGCAAGGTGTTCGAAAATATGGTAGAGATTTTAAAAGTATTGCCGATGTGATAGGAAATAAAACTGAACATCACGTACGTACATTCTTCATTAATTACCGTAAAAGGTATAATCTGGACAGTATTTTAAAAGAATGGGAGAAAGAACATGGTCCTCTTCCTGAAGATATTTCGGATATTAAGAGCGAAAACGATGACAATGATAATGATGTAATTTGCATATCTCCCACACCGAGCACTAAAAAAGATATTAAAAATGGGAAAGTTCCGCAAATAACTAAATGATAATTTGGAATTCTCGTGTGAAAATGTAATGTATTTTAATTTATAATGTATGAAATATATTTTAAACCTTTCTTGAATGTCATTTTCATTATCAAAGTTTCTTGTATCGACTGCTGTCATCCACAGGTCATCCAACGTAATAATCCTTGTAGGTGCGCGTGACCAATTGGCAACATCGATAATATAATGTTTTTTATTGTACATATGTGAACTCTATTTATTATTCACTTTAACACAAGCAAACCAGGTCCGCAGCACTGTATTATAGGGATGGGTGTTTTCCGGAAAAGTAACTTTTAAGCAGTCTCGGCGGACACGTTCGGACAAGTAGTGAAAAGTTGCCAATCTTGCATGCATGAAAACGTTAAATGTGTAATGCTTTTTAAAGCTGTAAATACATTAATAACAAAAAGGGTTATTTAGAATGCTTTTTTTATTTATCAAACGAAAAATATAAAACGAATCTTTCAAATAGGTTTTTTGAAAGGATAGATTATACATATTTCTAACCTCATTTTAAAAATTTTAAATCACAGTTTATCTTGTTTGTTGTTTATAATAGTACATAATATGGAAGAGGAATTCGAAATTGCCATTTTAGAAGGTTTAGATGATGATATTAAATATTTAATATTAAAAAACTTCGAAGTGATACGAATGTTGGCGAGCTCACCCAAAAACTATAAAGTCGCCACTAATTGCTGTCCTTAAACATCCACAATTAAGAACAGGTACAATCTTTATTAAAGTCAAAATAAGAGCGGCACTAATAGTGACTGACCTTAAGTTAACTTGCAATAATTCTCTATTTATGAAATAGGAAGACCCCATTATAAAAAAAATATATATACAATAGAAAAATATAACCAAATATTTACATACTATAATAATACAAATATTTACATACTATAATAATACAAATATTTACATACTACGATAGTACAAACCTATTAGGAATTTCAAACACATGATAGGTTATAATATGGCAACACTGTGGGTCTGGTGATTTGACAGAATCAATGATATAGATTATTAACCTGATTGTTTGTTTTATTTTTATACGTGGAGTCCAGAAGGAACATCCATTCACCATTATCCCTTAATAGCATAGTCGAGCGGTTCTTGGCAACTAGTTTTAGACTTTTAGTCCTAAGGGAATAGAAACGCCGAGGCTTCTCAAATGCTCGGAGTATTTTACTGGTTTGGAAAGGGATGAGAGATTAATAATAAGTATTAAAACATTAATAAATGTATATTAATAATAAGTATAAAATTTGACTAATAGTCTTAAGAAAAAAATGAATAAAATTCCATTTAGGGAATAAAGCACTATAACTACATAATGATATAAAAATATGGATAAAATAAATATGATAATTCGGGACGAAAATGTAAAATTGGCATTTATATGTAAATCAATCAATTATTATTAAACAAAACACTTAAAATTAAGTTAAAAATATTTACCCATAATTTACAAATCGTACACAAAACTTTACACATCACATTGTTTTGGGACTTAAAAAGTCCCAAAAAAAACGAGAGCTTTCGCCCCTTGGGCGAAAGTTCTGGACCTTAGTCCGAACTCGACTGAGAGAGTTTGCTCAAGAGTCTTTCTTTCTGTCTTCTCTCTATATAAACCAAAATTTACGTGATGGTTGTATTTTTTAAAAATGTCACGCTCAATGTAGCCATTGACTAGATTATTAACCTGATTGTTTGTTTGATTTTTATAAGTGTCTTCCTTTTTAATTTTTAATTTAAAACATAAAAATACTTTTTAGAATTTTTGGTAAATTCTTTATATTTCCAACTAATAATAATGCCAATTATTACAAAAATACTTTAACTGATTGTTCAGTCAAAACTTTGACTTCTAATGACTATTATTGTTCATTTAAAGTGAGTGTTTGACAATCTCTGTTTGATGCACTGTTACTCCCTGATGTATGGCCTTGTCAAGCTACAGTGAGAGAATTTTTACCACGTACTCCTAGATATGCATCTAACCATAAGAATACTAATTTTTAGAAAAGTAAATTGTCCCTGTATTATCAAAATGTTGGTGGTATGAGAACTAGAACCAAGGAATTTGTTACTGCTCTGTCTACTTGTGATTTTCATGTCATTGTTTTGGTTGAAACTGTATTGGCATTGATGATGTAGAGTTGGGGTTTGCCGGCTACTCATACAGATGCGATGGCGATACAAAACTAACAGGTAAATTTAGAGGAAGCGAAATCTTAATTGCCGTTAAAAATAACATCGATTTTGTGAAGTTGGAACTCCCTTTTGGTGCAGTTTATTGTGAACAGATTGTCTCGATTCAAAATGAATGTTGCATTTGTGCCGTGTATATCCCGCCTTCATCCCCTGTGTATGAGTACAATGGTCAAACTGTTGAATATATTTGTGAAAGTTATGATAACAATAATATATATTGTGTCGGCGATTACAATCTACTGGAGGTTGTTTGGCTGAATGAAATTGAAGGAACTTAGCACTCAGTAACTTGTATCAGTTAAATGAAATCCGCAATGGTAACAGAGTCTTAGATTTAGTTTTTAGTAATTTATTTAGATATTGTGTGTCTTTATCTGATTATTTTCTATTAAAACCTAGTTTACACCATCCACTTCTTGTCCTTAAACTTTAATGAAGGTGGTAATGTGAATGAGAATGTTTATGATTTTAGCTTGGCCGACTATAAAAGTCTAAATGATGTTTTTATTAATATTAAATGGGATCTGTATTTTATTAACATTTATATTAATAGTTGTGTATCCATTTTCTATGCTATTGTATAGTAATTTAGAATTATTTGTACCTAAGAAAAAAATTAATTACAATAACAAATTTCCCATTTGGTTTACAAGTGAATTAAAAAACGATATCGGAAAAAAAGCAGCTCATTTGAGATATAAAAAAATCAGTTCTAATCACCATTATAATGAATATAAAAATTTGTAAATTATTGTCAAAAGAATGTTATCAATCATATGTTCAGGATACTGAAATGTTGATTAATTTTAGTTCCAAATCATTTTGGAAATTAGTGAACTCTCAACGTCGTAATTGTGATATGATGCCGAGTACAATAAGATTAGAAGATAAAGTTTTTACTGAAAAATCAGTCAATTGCAGACACTTTTGCTGAATATTTTTGTTCAGTTTACAGTTTTGCTCAAAATGACACTGATAATTTTAAATGTGTTGATAATGATTTTATTGATGTTAATAATATTACTATATCTATAACTGATGTGTTGGGATGTTTGAAAACACTTGATATTGGGAAGAGTCCCGGACCAGATCAGATTACAAATCGAGTTTTGGAAGCAGTGTGCCTTTGCTATGGCAAGACCTTATGGCTTCTGTTCAAGAAATCGCTGACTGAAGGCATTTTTCCCACCAAATGGAAAACATAATTTGTTAAACCTTTGTTGAAGTCTGGAGATCCTTCGCTTATTACTAATTAAGGGTCAATTACCAGTTTATCGTCAATTCCTAAAATTTTAGAGAGTATTGTTAATGATCCTAAGTGGAAAGCTTTCTTCAAATATGATAAGTAGCAAACAACGTGGCTTTCACGTTGGCAGATCAACTATGACCAATTAATGCTCTTTACCGAGTATGTTGCTTCTGCTGTAGAAGATGGTCATCAAGTGGATACAATTTATACGGATTTGACAAAGGCTTTGATGGAGTTGACCACAATAAAGGGTAAATTGTATGCTGGAGGAATTTATGGACAGGCTTTGAATTGGCCAATTTCTTATTTTACAGACCGTGTTTGTTGTGTAAAAATTAAAAATGTCATTTCTAGTGAATATGCAGGGTCCCTCAGGGATCAAACTTGGGTCCATTGTTTTAATATATGCTGATTATATCAAATTGTATAATATCGCTAAAGATCCATCCGATTGTCTTGTACTACAGAAAAATTTAGACAGTTTGAACGAATACTGCTTTTTGCATGGATTAATGATTAATCCCTTAAAATGTAACGTAATGTCTTTATAAGGGGCTTAACTTAAACTTAATTAATCCTACTTATAAGTTGCATGGAAATCGTTTTAATAAAGTTTACAGTGTAAAAGATCTTGGGGTTATATTTCAATCTGATCTATCTTTTTCTCAGCATGTCGACTACTTTGCTAGTAAAGCCTTAAGAGCATTCTATCGACATACAGATACTAAAATCGTAATAACTTTTTTATGAAGCTATAAATTTGTTTGCGATTGTCACTAATATGATCGGTGAGAGTATTTTTGTATGCTGTATCATAAAAAAATAAAAACAAAAAATTTTGTCTAAAAAATAAAAAAAAAATAAGGGTGGACCACCCTTAACATTTAGGGGGATGAAAAATATATGTTGTCCGATTCGTAGACCTAACCGATATGCACACAAAATTTCACGAAAATCGGTCGAGCCATTTAGGAGGAGTTTAATTACAAACACCGTGACACGAGAATTTTATATATTAGAGAAGATTATAATGGGGAATTTAAAAGACAATTGCTGACTCCTCTGGAAAACGTTTGCAATTAAATGCAAGGCGGAAGAGTAAAAAAAAAGTTGGGCGAATAAACGGTAAGTAAATTTTACACAATATTTTTTAAATATTAAAAAACTTTTAATTCGGCTTAGTAGTCAATTGAATAAGCATATTTACATATTATCTTTATAAGTATTAGTAATGTGAGTAATATAGACGTCTATATTTTTTTCATTGACAGTTATCATTCTACCCCTTTCCACTTCATTGGGTCGGTGATTCCAATCAGGTATTGGCACATACTTTTGCCGCGTTTGAGAATCCACATCGAATGTATCTGAGATGTAGTAAATCTTTGATCACGTGATTCAGTATACGTAAATGTAATGGGACAGATGTGTCCGATTTGGATATAAAAACGCTCGAGATGTAAAAAATGCATCCGATGTGGATTCTCAAACGCGGCATTTGATTACTATACGAGGCAAGAGAGAGGTCCGACACGCCCAACATAGGGCGCGGCTATTTTGAACCCTGTGACACAGTTTACAGCTAAAGAATCAGATCGC